TATTATGAATAGTTATATGCCAACAAATTAGACAGCCTAGAAGAAAGAAAATTTCTAGAAACATACAACCTGCCAAGATTGAATCAAGAAAAAACAGATAATTTGAACAGACTGATCACTAGTAGTCAAATTGAATTTGTAATTTAAAAACTCCCTGCAAACAAAAGTCCAGGACTTGATGGCTTCACATAGGAATTCTATTGTATCAAACATATAAAGAAAAGATGATACCTATCCTTCTCAAACTATTCAAAAAATTGAAGAGGAGGGAACACTCCCTGATTCGTTCTATGAGGCCACCATTACCCTGATACCAAAAGCAAACAAAGATACTAAAAAGAAAAGAAAATTACAGGCCAATATCTTTATGAACATAGATGCAAAAATCCTCAACAAAATATCAGCAAACCAAATTCAACAATATATAAAAAGTATCATACACTGTGATCAAGTGGGATTTATTCCAGGGATGCAAGAATGCTTCAGTATTCACAAATCAATCAATGTGATACATGAATTAATAAAAGAAAGGATAAACATCACATGATCACCTCAAAAGATGCAGAAAAATCGTTTGACAAAATTCAATATCCATTCATGATAAAAATTCTCATCAAAGTGGGTATAGAGTGAGCATATCTCAATGTAATAAAGATCATTTACAGCAAACCCACAACTAACATAATACTCAACAGTGAAAAGCTGAAATTCTTTCCTTTAAATTCAGGAACAAGCCAAGGATGCCCACTCTTGTCACTTCTATTTAACATAGTATTGGAAGTCCTAGCCACAGCAATCAGACAAGAAAAAGAAATTAAAAGCATCCAAATTGGAATGAAGAAGTAAAACTCTCACTACTTACAGATGACATGATACAACGTAGAGATAACCCTAAAGTCTCCACCAGAAAATGATTAGAACTAATGAGTGAATTCTATAAAGTTGCAGGATATGAGATTAATATACAGAAATCTGTTGCTTTTCTATACATTGTTAAAGAACTATCAGAAAAAGAAAGTAAAAAAAATCAGTTTTAAAATTACATCAAAAAGAATAAAATACTTAGGAATAGACTTAACCAAAGAGGTTAAAGACCTATACTTTGAAAGCTATAAAACATTGATGAAGGAAATTGAAGATGAAACAAAGAAATGGAAACCTATTTCATGCTCTTGAATTAGAAGAATTAATATTGCTAAAATGGCCATACCACAGAAAGAAAGAAATCTACAGATTTAATGCAATCCCTATTAAAATACCCATGATATTTTTCACCAAGCTAGAACACATAATCCTAAAATTCATATGGAACTACAAGAGACTCCAAATTGCCAAAGCAATCTTCAGAAAAAAGAACAAACCTGGAGGTATAACCCTTCCAGATTTCAGACTATACTATAAAGCTACAATAATCAAAACAGCATGGTACTGGCACAAAAACAGACACATAGATCAATGGAAGAGAATAGAGTGCCCAGAAATAAACCCACACACTTATGGTCAATTAATTTATGACAAAGGAGGCAAGAATATACAACAGTCTCTTTAATAAGTGGTGCTGGCCTCTATTTACAATAGCCAGGACATGGAAGCAACCTAAGTGTCCATCAACAGATGAGTGGATAAAGAAGATGTGGCACATATATACAATGGAATATTACTCAGCCATAAAAAGAAACGAAATTGAGTCATTTGTAGTGAGGTGGATGGACCTAGAGTCTGTCATACAGAGTGAAATAAGTCAGAAAGAGAAAAACAAATACCATATGCTAACACATATATATGGAATCTAAGAAAAAAAAAAGGTCATGAAGAACCTAGGGGCAAGATGGGAATAAAGACGCAGACCTACTAGAGAATGGACTTGAGGATACAGGGAGGGGGAAGGGTAAGCTGGGACAAAGTGAGAGAGTGGCATGGACGTACATACACTACCAAATGTAAAATAGCTAGCTAAAGCAACCTAAGTGTCCATCATCAGATGAATGGATAAAGAAGATGTGGCACATATATACAATGGAATATTACTCAGCCATAAAAAGAAACGAAATTGAGTCATTTGTAGTGAGGTGGATGGACCTAGAGTCTGTCATACAGAGTGAAATAAGTCAGAAAGAGAAAAACAAATACCATATGCTAACACATATATATGGAATCTAAGAAAAAAAAAAGGTCATGAAGAACCTAGGGGCAAGATGGGAATAAAGACGCAGACCTACTAGAGAATGGACTTGAGGATACAGGGAGGGGGAAGGGTAAGCTGGGACAAAGTGAGAGAGTGGCATGGACGTACATACACTACCAAATGTAAAATAGCTAGCTAGTGGGAAGCAGCCACATAGCACAGGGAGATCAGCTCGGTGCTTTGTGACCACCTAGAAGGGTGGGATAGGGAGGGTGGGAGGGGGGGAGATGCAAGAGGGAAGAGATATGGGGATATATGTGTATAACTGAGTCACTTTGTTATAAAGCAGAAACTAACACACCATTGTAAAGCAATTATACTCCAATAAAGATGTTAAAAAAAAAAAGAACTAATCTACCCAGTAACTTATAACAAATGTCTTGTGATCTTGTTTTGAGAATAAAGAGATGTAAACTTAAAAAAAAACAAACTGGTGCTGGGAAAACTGGACTGCTACATGCAAAACAGTAAGATTTCCTCATACCATATACAAAAATAAACTCAAAATGGGTTAAAGATCTAAATGTAAGTCCTGAAACCATAAAATTCCTAGGAGAGAACATAGGCAGAACACTCTTTGACATAAATTGTAGCAATGTCTTTTTTGTATCTGTCTCCCAAGGCAAAAGAAATGAAAGCAAAAATAAGCAAATGGGACCTAATTAAATTTAAAAGCTTTTGCCCAGCAAAGGAAACTATCAACAAAATAAAAAGACAACCTATGAAATGGAGGAAAATATTTGCAAATGATATGGCCTGCAAGTGGTTAATATCCAAAATATACAAATAGCTCATATAACTTAATATCATAAAAAGGAACAACCCAGTCAAAATTGTACAGAAGATCTGAATAGACATTTTCCCAAAGAAGACATACAGATGGCCAACAGACACATGAAAAAATACTCAATATTGCTAATTATCAGAGAAATTCAAGTCAAACAAAACAATGACACATCACCTCACACTTGTCAGAATGGCTATCATCAAAGAGTCTACAAATAACAAATGTTAGTGAGGATATAGAGAAAAAGGAACACTTGTACTCTGTTGGTGGGAATATAAATTGCTGTAGACACTATGGAAAACAGTTTGGAGAGTCCTCAGAAAACTACTATATGACCCAGCAATTCCACTCCTGTGTATATATCAGGAAAAAACAAAAACACTAGTTCAAAAAGATACGTGCACCCCAATGTTCATAGCAGCACTATTTACAATAGACAGCATATGGAAGAAACCCAAATGTCCATCAACAGATAAATGGATAAAGAAGATGTGGTATACACACACACACACACACACACACACACACACACACACACACACACATATGTATACACACACATACATATACATACAGTGGAATATTACTCCATCATAAAAAAGAATGAAATTCTGCCATTTGCAGATACATGGATGGACCTAGAGAATATTATGCTTAGTGGTTTGTCAGACAGAGAAAGACAAATACTGTATGGTATCACTTATATGTGGAATCTAAAAAAATAATACAAATGAACATACATGCAAAACAGAAACAGACTCACAGATATGGAATACCAACTTCATTACCAGTGGGGAGAGGAAATGGGGGAGAGACAAGATAGGGGTATGGGATTAAGAGATACACACTACTGTGTATAAAATAGAGAAGCAACAGGATATATTCTATAGCACAGGGGATTATAGCCATTATCTTATAATAACTTTTAATGGAGTATAATCTGTAAAAATACTGAGTCACTATGCTGTGCACCTGAAACTAATATAATCTTGTAAATCAACTATACTTCAATTTAAAAAAGTAAATTGTCATGAAGATGAGTCTTGACATCCCCACCTGACTGACTATAGTCAGGACTCACTTTCTGCAAGACTGTGAGGTAGGTGAAAGTCACTGCCCACCTTTTTTTCTCAGAATTCCTTTGCAATTTTGTATCACTGGACATCTACTCCAATTTCTGGAGTCCTATTTGCTTAGGCACTTGATTTTAGCAGTTATTTATTACTCTGATCCCTGTAATATAATAGCGCTCTTTCTTTGGGCATTGACCTTTACTGATGGATCTCTGAAAAAACTCAAACACTTCAAAGGAAAGAATCTACCTCTGGTAGAATGAATGATAAGTTGTGGGGTGGATATTTTTGAGCAGGTGACCTTTCCCATTATCCTTCAAACTGAAACTACCCCTTAGAAGCTTGGCCTTGATTCCAATGCATATTTCCTCCCTGGATGTTGAAAAATTAGGTTAGGATAGAGACACGTGGTACGGAGCAAGGGATTTGCTTTTGCCTGCAAATTTCCTGATGATAACAGGATATAGTTCTTTGAAAACAGTCCATGAACTGTAATATATCAGTGTGGTTAAAACTGTGGAGCTTCAGAGTCAAGATGAGCCAGGGTTTATATCCCGACCCTACCACTTTCTGTGTGATTTTTCACAATTAACTTAACCTGTGCCTTGGTTGCCTCATCTTGTATAAAACAGGGATAATAAGAGTAGCTAACTCATATAGTTACTATAATGATCAATGAAATATATGTCTAAAGAGCTTAGCATAGTTCTTGACACTTGATCAAGTTGTTCTTGTCATCACTGTCATTAGCATCACCACCACTGCCACCACCAACATCACCCCCAGGTTCCTACTGTAACAGAATAAAATTTTATAACCTCTTGCTAAAGCTAATACCAGCCATCAGCAAGGGAGGAAAGAGTAAGTCCACTCGCATTCACTTTAACCCTTACATCTCAAAGAGAATGTATGAGAAGACACTCTAACCCTCATGTCTCTGTCTCTGTTTCCACAGGTACCTGTCGGCTTGGCTGGGCATATTACTGTGCTGGAGGTGGCGCAGCTGCAGCCATGTTGATGTGCACCTGGCTCTCTTGCTTTGCTGGAAGACACCCCAAGCCTGTCATGTTGGTGGAGAGCATCATGAGGAACACCAATTCTTATGCCATGGAGCTTGACCACTGCTTCAAACCTTGAGCTTTAGCAGAAGATTGGAGAGGGTGGGAAAGAGGAGGGAAGGGAGCCTTGCAAAGAGGTACTAAGACTAGGCCAGTTCCTACCCACTTGCCAGTAGTGTAACCCAGTGTTTGCATGCTTTTTAACTCCCCAGTCATTCATCTTTGGTTTCCCTTAAGCCAGTGGGTCAGTGGCTATTTACAAAATTCATCAAGAACAATAATTCTCAGACTTCCCTGGCGGTCCAGTGGTTAAGACTTCGTGCTTCCAATGCAGGGGGCGCAGGTTCGATGCCTGGTCGGGGAACTAAGATCCTACGGTGTGGCCAAAAAAAGAACAATAATTCTCTCTAATGTTTACCTAGCTGGTGAGTGCCCACTAGCCCCCAACTCCCAAAGTGCTCCTTCATACAAAATAATAAGAAAGATCCTCAGTTGAAAGGTAACTGCACAGTCAAGCAGCTCTTCAGAGTTCTACAGCTCCTATCACTTACCCCAAAGCTTAAAGTTTGGGTAAAAACACTTGTGCATGAAGGGGCCATGAGATGGACAGGGATGGTTCCCACCGCTCCGTTCCTTTGGTCATTCCCTGATACTTATTGCCATCTCCAAACATCTATAGAGTGCCACTGCCCCAATTTTTGTGACTTTCTCAGGACTATACCTTGACTCATCCTCTTTTTTCCTGTTTTTCTTCCTTGCCGGTTGTGCGCAAGCTTATGGGGAGGGTGACTCCCAATGGGGAAAACACTAATCAAGGATGCTTGCATATAGTCTAAGACCCCTTCCTCATTATGCTTTAGAATATTCATAAAAGTTCATTTTGTGTTCTGGCTGGGTGACTGGCACCAAAATAGTGGCAAGTATTCCCTAGTCCCTTATAGATACAGAAATGGTGTTCATCAAATGTTCTGAGCAGAGACTAGCATTTGTTGTGTGCTCAATAAACACAAATTCAGAATGATGATGACAAGGATGTTTCTGCTGGTTCCTTATTGAAATTCCTATTAGAGTTCATTTTTATTGACCAGGAAATCCACAGTGGCCTTTTGCCCCTATAGTCATTCCTAGCATGATACACATTTCTCCACTTGTTTCAAAGACTATTCATCAAGTGCTTTCCCTTCCATCTGGGGTGAATTAGACATAAAAGAACAGAGTCCTGATGTCACCTAAGGCTGATGTATTTTTAGGCTTGGCCTCCATCCCATCTGTGCTCAAGGCTGATGGATGGTGTAGAAGGACTTGGTGTCTCTCAGGGACAGAATTTGTCTCCCCTACTCCTCCCTAATTAATACAGGCTAGCTCTATTGCCCCATAACTACAGCTTTAGGGACTAGGGAGGGCCTGTGACACAACAGGCCAGCTCATCTCTTTCTATTCTTAATCACTCCAGAGTGGTTTCGGTACAGCCCGGTACAGCCCTACCTGGAAGGAGAGAAATGGCAAAAAATGTTCTCATTAGTTATATGCCATCCCAAGAAGGGTCAGGGTCCATATATCGGCCTTATGCAGGTAAGTGAATTCAAGTATACACTTCATTCATGAGCTCATTCATTCATTTAATCACTCAGTCAGGACACACTTTTTGAATATCCTACTGTATGCCACATTCTATGCTAAGTACTGGGGGGAAAAAAGATACAGTTTCTCACCCTAAAAGTGACAGGGTATTGACAGACATGTAGATAAATAATTGCCAAACAGTGTGTTACATGCTACCAAGTGAAGGGCTGGGGGCTAAAGGATCACATAGAGGGGCTATTAAACCAACTTGGGGTGAAGGGGTTCATGGGAAAGATTTCTAGAAAAGATGATGCCTAAGATGAGTCTAAGAGATGAATATGGGGAGTTAGTCAGCAAAGGCTAAGTGTGTACCATACAAGGGAACGTGGAAAGCAGAGCATGGAGACATGAGAAAACATGGTCCCATCACAAGAATGATGAACAGAGGTGTGAAAAGGGAGGAGGCAGAAGCTGAAGCTGAAAAGGGAAATACCAATGGGATCTTCTACACTAGGGTAAGGAGTTTGGATTTTATCCTAAAGGAGGGCCATTGAAAGGGAAGTGATGTGAACATATTTGTGTTTTTCAAAGATCAGTTTGACTAATGTGAGGAGGATGGAAGAAAATAGGGAGAGACTATAGATTTTTCAATAATCTAGGTATAAGAAAATCAAGTCCTGAATTAAGATAGTGAGTGTGGAGCTGGAGCAAATGGATGAATTTGAAAGAAGATATTTAGAATATTTTGTTACATACCAGAATTAAAATATCTTATTAATAATTTTATACTGAGTAAATGTTGAAATGATAATATTTTGGGTATATTGGGTTAAATAGAGCATATTAAAATTTCAGAAAGATATCTAGGAAGTAGATCCCATGGCACTTGATGTCTAATGGATATGGTAGGTGAGGACAAGTAAAAATTTTGGCATGATCTCTCTGAGATGTGGGCTATCACCGAGAGGGGGAATACCATAGGAATAACAGATAGTAAGGAACTGATGATTGGATTCATGTCAAGTATTATCTTCCCCATGGAACTGGATTAAGTGTTTAAGGTAAAGCAAGTTGAACATATCTCACTGGGAGGAAAGCAATGTAATTAGGTTTGCAGCATCCCCTGTCCCCAAGACAGATGACTAAGAACAGGTAAAACAAAAATGAAAATGGCTCAAACTTCATTTTTATTGTGTAGGCACAATAATGCAACTGTAATTTAGGAGAGCTCAATGTATGGAGAATATGTCAGGTGTTTGAGGAAATGCAGATCAGTCTCTTTCGAAAAGGCAGGTGGATCAGGTGATCTTCTCAGGCTAGGGAACCTTCTGGAATTCTGCAGGATAGGATTTGTGAAAGTGATATAAGCGTTCAAGTCAGGGTATTGGCAGGAAAGAGATGGTATACTCAAGGAGTTTCCCTAGCTGAGCTGAATGAAGGGGCTATTTATGGTGGTGTGGGTAAAATTTAGGGAATCTACAGTGATGGTGAGGCATACAGAGGCGATGCATGGCGGGGAGCTGTTATCACCCCCAAAGACTGAAGGGACAAGGGGAAGTAACTGCGTTATTGGAACCCAGCAAGAACTGTAGCCATGCAGGAAGGGCTGCCTGATAGGAGCTGTGTCTTTAGGTAGCACAGTGTGAACTCTGCCCAAATGTAACACAGCTAGGAGGCAGACAGGGGCACAAAATCTTTATCTCCCTCTCTTCCCGCTCTCTGATCTCCCAATGCCCACCATTAGTCAGACCCAGCCAGATGCCAGCTGGCAAAAAAGGCCGTTGCCACAGTCAGCCTCCTTTGTCACAGAGCATGGAGTAGAAGGGCAGAGAATGGACATTGCGGGTGTGAGCGGCAAATGGAAAATAACAGCTCAGTGAGTTTTCTCAGCTCCCGTTGCTACCATTCCCTTACACATTGCTTCCCGGGAAGTCAATGCTTTGCTGCCCTCCATGGCCCAGATACCTGAACACACTGTAAAGTAGTTATACCCTAGAGAGGAGACTGAGCAGGAAGGGGTTAATTCAAAAGAACCATTTTAAATGACTGTCACCTTGTATAAGGTATTAGTTGGCATGTTTCCTCTCCTCTTCCAGGGAAAGGGGAGAGGATTTAAAAGGGATTTTTTTTTTCCTGTGAAGAAACCAGGCCTGCAGGGGCTTATATTCAAAGAGGGATCCAGCCCCTTGTTCAATTTGAATTTGAATTCCTCCCTGCCTGAGTCTGGTTTCTTTCCTGCCAAGCATTGTTTTTGTATAGATGTCTGACTAGCCTATTTTTTTCCCCTGTGGCCTAAAGTGGGCTCTTGGAAGCTAAGCCTGCCTCCTCTGGCTGCTGTTAAGCAGAGAGGGAGGACAGCCCATGGGTTGGGGGAGGGCTGAAGGAGCAAAGTGAGGATCTCAGAGACGGTGGTCTGTCCCATGCCTGGCTGGCCGGCCTGCTCCCTGCCTGTGCACACAGATCAGGTTCTTAACCATGGGTCCTTTCTGACTCTTGGAACCACTTAGATCTTGTGTGTAGAGGGGTGAGAGGTGGGAAGCTATTCACCCAGGCTAGCTCAAAACCAACTGATTATTTCTTAAGAGTCTATTTGGCAGGATATTCCTTCAGGAAAGAATGTCAGATGGACAGCACTCACCCATCTGGCATGTCTCTGTGTCTGTAGGGTTACAATTTCTCCAACTTTGGTGGCCCTTGGTATACTGCAAGTGTCAAGTCATCCAGGTCTGTCTTGAGTGATGCCTTCTCCCTAACGTCACCTCTCATTATCCCTGTTCCCAGGGCAGTAGCTGCCTCCATTGATTTTCACATGCTGATGACTTCCCACCTTGCAGGGACATGTGCCCTGAACCAATATGGACAGGCTCCGGCCTCTGAGCTTCTGCAAGAGTAGGTGGTAATATGAGGTTTGGGTTGGATGAGGGGAAACCCTAGGAGGATGAGGGGATGAAGAAGCTGCTGGCAAGCAGAGGCTTTATAAATTGTCCAACAAGTTGGACTAAGAGGGAGGTCTGGCCCCTTCGTAATGTGCTAAGGACACTGTCTTCAATCTGGCATGCACTCTTGGTAGAAATACTAATGTGGAGAAGCTTCAAGATTGTATTTAGTCCCAAGACAGTCTGTCGGTGAGGAAAAAAATGGAAGTTTCAAGAAAACTAATAGTGAATGCATTTTGTAAAAGATGGCAGGCAACACACTTTGTGGCTTGAGGGGAAAGTTCTGCTATTTCTAGAACTCACCATCAATCTCTAACCAGACCTAGTAAAGCTTTCTTAGCAGACAGAAGGCAGCACCCTTACAAGGAGTCATCTCCGCTCTGTGTCCCTGGTTTAAAAGCATTTTCTCATCTGGAGGGGGGCTGCAGTTGAAGGATATTTATTACTGGCCTCTCTTTCAGATATAGAGAGATGTATTTTCAGCTTCAATTTTCATTTCGTCTACTTATGAGATTAGGCTCTCCCAGTGCTGATGTCTTCTCTAAAGGCATCGAACCCCCACTGAGTCTTCAAAGCTAACAGCAAATAAACAATTGCTGTATGTGCACACAAATGATTTAGATTTTCATTATACAGGGCTGCTGATATATCAGGAGGCAGAAGTAGGGGGAGACAGAATGCTTGGTTTTGACTGCAGCACTATATCCTGGTTCTTCCTCTCTCTCCAGAAAGGAGGCTCCAGAGAACAGTACTTGGGAGAGGAGGGCATCAAGGCCACCTGGCATCCATGA